TATTATTGATTTAAGCGAATTCAAAGACTGATCAAAAAAGTTTAAGTCTCTGAACATGCTTCAGCATGTCCCCTGATTGGTAGGATGATGTCATCTGAAGAGGATTAACCTACTTTTACATCAACTTTAGTTATTGTTGGGGACGTTAGATCGCTAGAACTCACTTAGAAAGGTCTTAATTTTGTAATTTCATTCTGAAATTTTGAAGTTTGTTGTTTTCGCGCCTAAGATGCTTAATTGACCTTTAACTTACATTTCCCCCTGGGAAAATCCTTGACTGTCACTGGTCAATGGATTATTTTAGTACGCTATTTTGTAGCTCTCCCAAGGGCGTTTCTATCATTGTATAAATAAGCCTGATTTGTGTGCTTAAAGACCTCGTATTTTTTGGGTGCTTGTAGAATACATTCTCTACGCCTTATCGAGACTTCTTGATCTAGTTAGAAGGGTCTGAGATAAACGGATTAGGACAGCCTATCGTGTTACGGTACCGTTGATCTTCGTTCCGTTTACCGAATAAGGTGAACTCGTAATAGCATTCAAGCATATCAGTTACATAGTCTGTATAGGTATGTGAATTATTCCTCACATAACATTAGACTAAGTAACTAATAAAGTAAACAAAATAGTCCGATCGTTTATGATTTTTCAGAAAAATAAGGAAGTGATTGATTGAACATTATCGGATTTTTCGAAAGTGAACTTGGGACAATATCGGCATTACTCTCGATAGTCATAAAACTTGAAAGGTGGAAATTTACTTATGTATTTAATAACACAAACATTGGTACAAAGCAAAACCTATATATATATATATATATATATATATATATATATATATATATGCGCCACACAAATCAGTGAGTTTGTGTGGAATGTGACACTGCCTAGGTGAAACGTTAACTCCACTTATAGAAATGACGATATAGCTACATTATAAAGAGATGGTTTAGCATAATTTTAAAACCCAAGAAGCATTATTTCACTGGTTTCAGTATAACTTTGAAGTATTGCGAGTGAGTAATAGTTTAGGTTAGGGATGACAGTACTACATCACAATAGAAAACTGATTGGTAAGTGTGAATGTTTTTCAACGAATCCTAAACCACCGCATACTTCAAGGAGTAAGGCAGAAACAGACTAGAAGGAAACTAGAGGTCGCCAAACCAAAACGGAGAATCAAATCATGCGGTCATTGACTATTATGCTAACTCGTATTGGTAGACGTAGATTATCTGGTTGCAGTCAGTAAGTTAACAGCAATCAGTGGTTGGAGATTTCGGCTCAAAGTTAGTTACAGTGCAGCAGGTATGCTTACTGCTTAGTTCTCTTTAGATTTGGAGTTCCAGTATCCCTCCATATATACCTCTCTATTTCTTAAAATATATTAGCAATAGTCGTTAGTCGTTCTCACTGTCACTGCTACTACATTGTTTAGACTCCTTTGACACTCACATTGTTCATTTCATCGAATTGTGTTAATATGGTATGACAATTTGGGGTGATGTACAGTTAGGCCAGGTTCTACTTTAATGATGACAGAATAATTATTATGTTTATGAATTTTTTTAAAGTTATTACTTTCAGAAGTTCGGTTCCTGACACCATACATAAAAATACACTGAAAGACTGGAAACCCGAAACAAAGAATTTTCACATGATATCCTATCAAACCGCACAAAACTAGTGAAAAACTGTCATGAACTGTCAGCGGTAGAAACACCACTAGAGGTATATCTTAGAATCCAAAGTAGAAGCCACATAAATAATGATATCGATTTATTCGCTGGGATATTTGAATTTATAAACTACAGAATACGAATAAACTGCAACAAGTACAAAACCAGAGCTCCATATATCTTTTAATTTGAATAAGAAAAATATGACTGTATCAAATATTGAATAAATTGATTGGAATACATTTAAAAAATTTACAATAATTGTCTATAAATGACAACACCCTTAAGTTATGTAATCACCAACATCCACACATACATGTAATCAACTAGCGTATTTTGTCCTACCATTTTAAATTATACTCAAAGTTATTAAATCAAAATTTACTTTAGCATGTTCACATGGAATTTGTTTTAAAAGTTTCAGTAAACGACTTTGGTCATTTCGTCTGTAGGCAAGTAAGTCGGCCAATGTAAAAGCGATTGATCCATCAGTAAATAATTCTAACAGAACACACCTACAAATTTTATAATAATAATAATAGTAATAATAATAATAATGTGACACAAGAATATTTAATGCTTTAAATATATAACATAATGAAATTGAAACACGTTGAACATTTGAAACGATCGATTCATGAATGCTGAAAACAACGTCATGATTTAGATCCCAAAATTAACTAAATCTACTGATTAAGTCATATGATACAGCTAAGACACGTGACTTTCAGTTTTTACAGTTGGCTGAAATTATTTCTCACTGTTGTAACATTGAAAAGTTTAGACTATAAATCACATGAAGAATATATGAGCTTCTTAGATAGGATAGTCAAGAAGTAGGAGATCATATAAGAAATACCAGGAAAAGCTATCATCAGAATCTTGTTAAACCGAATGGAAGATTTAGTAGACGCACAGCTTTGAGAACAGCAGGATGGATTCTGTAAGGATCGATCATGTACCGACCATATAGCAATAGCACGGATCATCGTGGAACAATCAACTGAATGGAACTCACCACCCTACACCAACTTCCTTCATTCCGTATCTGTTGGCCACATACAATCAGCAATAACCTACCGTGGGAAAGAACAAACCAGCTCACAGCGCTGTAGGTGTATAGAACACACATTGTGAAAGCCATTTAACTACGTCACGAGGCCAGAACTAACTTGAAATCCTCAAAGCCGAATGAAGAGAAACACATTGCACTGAGAATCGGAGACATAAATGGACATAATGAATATCACTTGGCAGCAATTAGAGAGAACAGTCCAGAACAGAGTTGTTTAGAGAATTCGGGTTGGCGGCCAAAGCTCCAATAGCTGTAACAAGTGTAAGTGTGCACATAAGATCTTCGATTTCAATGCAATTTTATACTTCATTAGCTCTTGACAGATAGGTCGTATATTATAACACTTTTGATCACAATTTCTTTTAATCTCGAACAAAAGTAACTATCAGTGAAAATATTTATCAGTGAACAACAACAGTGTAAAAAATTTTCTAAAACAAAACGAAACTTACCCAATTGAAAATAAATCCATAGTTGGTGTTAAATGACAGTCTAAGTCAAGTAAACTTGATGTCATAAATTTGGTTCGTTGCTTTAAATCGACCACCTCATCATTAGAATTTTGTATATCACAGTCTTCAGTATTTAAAATAAGCGAAGGAGATGAAGTCATACTGAGTTGAGTAGACAATTCATTGACATTTTCAATTAAATAAGACGATTCACTTTTAGGGAAGTTATTATTATTATTATTAAGACTAATATTACTACTAGTGAAATCAGATATTTCAACAGAAAGTTGTTGTTGTTGATGTTGTTGTTTATCAGACTCGATATTGCATTCTTTATTTAAAACATTCGATTCATTTATCGTGGTAGATTGTACAATTGTATTATCACACTCATTTATATGCATATGTACATTCTAGAGGTAAGAAAAAACACAGTAAAAGAAAGACAACTCATTAAATGAAAATAGTTGAAGTAGTATACAAAAGAATATTGGTTTTATTTTAAGCTAGAACTCATCAACGGTCTACAATGAACAAAGAACGCGTCAATTTTACGAATTAATCCTATGTTCCATTAATCCCAAATAAATTAACAATCATTAGCAGTGACTAGTTTGATATTTTTTTTAAATTAAAAAGCCTTTCTGAGAATTAGAAAACGAACATAACAGTCCATTGCAACTGGATGGTTAATTATTGATTGAATGTTGAAGATCATATACATGATAGCTGAAACAGTTTTTAAGATTGTCTACATTCTGTTGAAAGAGGTTCAACAGTTCAACTGGACAACCTTTAAATTACTTTGAAAATTTACATGATCAGTTACAATAAGGATAATGAGATACATACAGCTAGCTATATGATGGTTGGTCACATTTTGTATTTTCTATGTGATCAAGTGACGACTAATTTAAATGTACAACAACAACAACACATTTGAATGAGATAAACAAGCGAACTAATATGAAATCATTATAAAATAAATCGAGTTGTAATGAATAACCGAGCAGTTCTATATTCATCATTTTATGGAAACATAATTTGGATTGAATGTGATTCGAGTTAGAATAAGTGATTTCATAAAATACTATTGTTAGATAAAAGAAAAAACGATGTGCCGAAATATAGACAATAATTAATCATTTATGTTAGTATTAAATTTTTGTTAAAATTAAGGAATATATATAACTTAATCATAGAATTTCATAACTATAATACGTCTTTTTTTAATAACACTAAATCAGTTCCGTTCTCTGAGTTGGATGGATGAAATTCCACCATAAAAATAAGCCAAGTGAGCTGCGAATTTTCTCCACTATCTCAAAATTGTATGAGTGTAACACTGGGTCAATTCATCAATTTCTACTGATACTTATTCTTATGAGGATAGAAAAAGTCATGTAAATAAGACCTGGAATCGATTTAATAAACTATTCAGTTTTCTTTTATGATTCCATGAAAGGAATAACAAATAACATAAGGTGTTGACTAAATCTTAGATGGAAGCTTTATCAGATCTATTGATCATAGGTTTTATGCTTAAAAAAGTAGAAAACAAAATGGTAGGAAAAATCTAGACACACTTTTGAAGAAAAAATATTTCTTTAATAATGAGAAGTGCAAGCAATGTTTATTTTAAAAATCATGGATTACTCCAATTTTACGTTTTTTGTTTCTTCAGAGCACATAGATGCTTCTTCTTCTTCTTCTTCATCCAAAAAACTATCCAAATTTGTTGCTTCAAAGCCAGTAACAGTTGGAATAGAGGTATTAGTAGTACCGGTGGTAGTAGTCGGTGCTGTACAACTATGCACTTCAACAAAGCGTTCTGGTGCTAAATAACAAACACGTCGACGTGATGAATCAAAAAAATGTGTAAATTCACTTGGATTATCAGATGGTAACCAAACTGGTTTAAATGGGGCTGGATCAGCCAAAAGTACCCATCCCCATGAAGTGATTAAAACATTTTCCGCTTTAATATCTCCATGACAAAGATACTAAATATGGAAACAAAAACAAAATTGAAAACCATTTACAGAAGAGTTTGATAAAATCTCGAGTTAATTATTAAAACGCCTAAAATTTGTAAAATAATAAACATTTTGGTTAGCATATTTTTAGGTGAGTTAGTTGGAGTTGCCAACACAAAGCCTTCTCCTTTATCTGGTCTTGGAACCTGGAGTAGCCCTTGAGGGTCTACAGGCAGAGATATTCGTAGGTTGCCGGTTTTCGACTATAGGTGTCTTCAAAGCATCGCTCGTGTAACATTGAACAACCGAGTAAGCAATGCTGTCGTTAGGAAACGAGTATTAGGTAAGGATGGCAGATTAACAGATGAAGTATTGAAACTCTATCAGTTGAGGTGGTTGGGACACGTATGCCTAACCACCGACTGCCTCGTCGAGCTATGTTTTGCGGTGTAGGAATAGGTTGGAAGAAAACTAGGGGCGGCCAAACCAAAACATGGCAGAATTGCATGAAGTCACTGACAAGTGGACTGAGTCATGTCGCTGGGTGTCGACTATTTGGTTGGGGTCCGCGAGATGATCATAATCGATGGTTAGAGACCCTGAATGACACGGCTCAAAACCCTCTGCAAGGTGCAGATGTATCCGTTCTTTGTGTTCTGTCAAATCCTGAACTTCTTAATTCCTCATCATTTTGTCTTTTTCTTTTTAATAGAACAGTGAGAAGACGTAATTGATCTGTTCTATCAAAATTTATAAAAGGGACCAATTGTTTTAAATTTTTCTTTTTAAGTTTATTTCACAAGGTTCTACTTCTCGAATAATATCGTCGAACCCTAATCTCTGCGATTACTGCTAATACTTTTACTACCTCTACAACAATGGGATTTGAATCGACAATTGCATCTCTATGATAATGTGGTATGGCAACTTGAACTGATGTACGTACGTACGAAGTTCTTTGTAGTTGTTGACTGACTGAATGACCAGTCTTGGTAAAAAAAAATCACTATTTGACGAAAAGAAGATTATCATTTCTAAATCACACTACTAATGATAATTTTTACGATTTAATATAGCAGTGATATCTATAACGTCCACTACCAAACTTTATGTGACTGTTCTACCCTATTCTAGCTTCAGCTACTTGAAAAGACAAATCTTGCTAGGAAGATTCATAGGAAAAGACTAAAACAGGCACAATTTCCTACATAACAAAGTGATATACTCATATAACTAAAGTATTCATATAAAAATCAACATGAAAAATGTCTCGTCAGTTATTTGATGAATCATTTTCAATAAATTACGACCTCATTGTTATGCCTGATTCTTTTGAACATCGTATCTTAAAACAATATGACTTTAGCAATGAAACATTTGAAAAATTATGGTTTTTTTTGAAAATAAAAATCACTTTTATATAATTCCACTAACTGAATAATTAGTTTTAGAATTTTTACTATAAGCTTTAGTTGAAGAACTATGAAGTTGATCAACAGCGCATAACAATTGATAAGCAATCCATCTTTTATCTTCAATACACAAAAATGGTCTGGTGCATAGACGATCAGCTAGCGATTGATCAATAAAATCCCTAATAAGCACTCCACAACGTTCAGTAATGTATGATCTAGATGAGAAGAAAAAAAGATAGAATAATTTATTACATATGAGAAGAAACATTTTATTAGTCAATTATTTAAAAGAAAAGTGTAAATATCTTGAGTTAAGAGTTAAAAAATTCTCACCAATGCCTACTTCCATCATGGCCATAAAAAAATTGAGCTGGGCAATATTAATTTTAAGCACAAGACATTAGCAACCAGATGAAAATCTCGAAATTGGAAAACCAAATCAATTCAATCTTAATCGATTCACATTTATTGAATGCTCAGTGAACATTATCTTTGGTATATGTAAGTGTGAGCTAATAATCTACCCGATTATGTCCTGTAATCATTGTTGTGCTATGCCGATATTTAAGTTAACTGATAACTGACTTGATTTCTACGAAAAATTTATCACATTCCATTTGTGATTTTAAAAATAAACTTATCGCATACTGCTACTCCACTAGTATTACTATTTTTCGAAAGTGTCGCTTCTTTCAAAGTTAGAATTGTTCAGCATTAGGATAAAAAGTATCAAGATAAGGAAATATATGAGTAATTGAATGATTTATAAATTTTGTTTTGTGGTGTGTACTAATATGTCGACACTACACATTTCCTACATTTCAGAAAAACTAGTAAAACTCTTCTTCTTGAGTTATTATTCAAACGCCTTTTGACCTTGTCAATTATTTGCTTATAAATATTGGTTGTTTTTACTTGAACAGGTATTTGCATTGCTTGCTTTGATTATCATGTGTTTAGTTTAATTTTGTCGCACTATAAATACTTAGTCAAAACTCATCAACTGAGTTAGCTCACTCACCTTCTTCACTTTGTTTCGCTTTGATTTTCCACTTTTTATCCTCATGTATGTCTGACTGAATGATCACATGAAATAAACTTAATCATTATTTGGCTCCTAATTACTGTCATCACACAAATGAGGTTAATCTAATTGTAATATACCGGATTAAAAAGAAGATTTATTTCATAGCATATTCAGTCGCTTATGCAAACTGGAATCAGATCCTGGGCCACTATAGCGTTTTAATGGATAATGTTTTTGGGGAGGTTCGCGGAGTTGCATTCAAGCTTCGAGTTTAAATATTGAAGTGTATATTAGGTCAAGAAAATAGTTTTAAGAAGGATAAACATGTTAAACATGTTAATCTAAATCACTTTATAAAACAAATTCTCTAGATAGTTCGATTGTTATTAAGTTCTTAAAGACGAGTTAACTTTCTTTCACATTCTACTACTCATGATGAGAAACAATAAATATTTATTATGGACGATATAGGTCGATCAATGTTTCAATAAATGCTTCATTTATAAAAAATAAATATAATTTTAAAAAAAGTAAGCAAATAGATTTATACTCACGTGCTGAAAAACAGTAAATTATAACCCGAATTAATACGATGACAATAAGGCAACATAATAGCTTGATAGCGCCATAATAATTGAGATATATTTGAATTCGGAAATATTTTTACTACAAGTGAACGTGGATTATCTCCATCAACAGATCTAATAAGAAATGAATTAAAGTTGATGTATAATTAAAACAAAACCCATCTATTCATATCACTCTTAATGATAATCAAGTATAATTAACTCAACTTAGTAAAAAAAATCCAGACTCGTCAGAGTAGACACTTAACAATATTGATTTTATTTTAATTTATAACACGAAAAATTATGATACTATAGCAAAACTTTTCAGCCAATTTGAATGTCAGCAAATGATGATAAGCGAAGAAATCAATGGGGTAACACTTTACTGAATAAGCACAAGTCATTAAAGCTGGTGTTTCAGGATGACAACAAAAATTGAGTTATCATCAGTGAGTTAGTCGGCTACGACGCAGAACTTCGTGCGTACCTACATTAGTTCAAGTTGCCATACCACATTAGCACAGAGGTGCAATTGTCAATTCAAATTCCATAGCGGTAGAGGTAGTAGGAGTGTAAGCAGCGATCGGAAAGATTAGGGTTCAAGATAATATTTAAGGATTATAATCCAGTGAAATAAATTTGACAAGAGGAAAATGAAGGTCGTGAGGAATTTAGATTAGAATTTGAGAGAAGACAAAGAATGGGTAATCCTTTAGACATGAACATACTTTAATACAGAGTTGATGAATATTCTTAGCTTAGGAGAGGGAGGCTAGATTCATAAACGTAGAGCATAACTACTTTTACCGACACGTTGTAAACCCGACATTGTTAAAGCCGGATTACTGTCACGGTATCATCAAAGATAAATCATATAAGAATAAATAGTTCTGTCTTTCACTACACTTGGATCGCAATACCATCTAAGGTAGTCAGTCATACACTTGTCCATATAAAAGAATTTTTAGATTCCCAAGGTTTCATACGTAGAGGCTTTTGTCGATCGTGAAGAAATATTGCCACCTAGACTCAAATACACAAAATGTGGAAAGATATATATTATGCTGAAGGACTGGTGCAACCAGACAGTAAACACTTTTGTATACAGATTACGTAACAAAATGGAAATATAAAAAATATTATGGTATGCAGTAAACAGATAATCAGATATTGGTAGCGCTGTGAATTGAATGAACTTAAAGTATCTAGCGTCTTATTACTGACTGCTTGATACACATCCTTTTTTACCGTGTTGACCTTAGTTTTTAATTTCAGTTTTTGCTGTCTCATACATTCCAAGAGAGAAATATACAGTTACAGAAGTCATTGGTTCTATGAGCTGGTGTCTAGGTTTCTTTGGAAAAATTTTACTTACACCTTATCTAGCCCACCACCCCTCATTATTTTAATGATCACAGAGAATAATAAGCATCAGGTCAAAATATCAAAGTAACATTCATAAGTAAGAAATAAACCTTTACAAAACATTACCAAGAAAACTTTAAAAAAAAAAGTCGAAATAACACTAACCTTATTTTGGCTACTTTAAACAGTCTAGAGCCGCAAAGTTCTTCTTCAAATACAACTAAACCGGATAATTCAGATAGGTAATCTTCAACATTTAAAACTGAAGAAGGTGATAATCCAGTGAGTTGATTACCCATCCCTCCCTCAGAGATGAGTGTCTAATTGTTATGTTTGTTTTTTTCGTACAAGATATCCAAAAATCTAATTTTCGAAAATATAGGAGAAAGAGTAAAGTTAGTCAACACATTATACCTAAATATGCAGACAATGAACATCTGATATAGTTACTTTTTAAAAACATTGTCAGCTTTGATAGGTTGAAAACTGTCAAGTAGAAGTTGAGTGTAAACAAATTATAAATCGTAAAAAAGTCAATCTGTCGTTTTAAAAAGCACCTAAGGAACGTTTTGTTTCCTAAATAAGATGCTAACTAAGCGGCAGTAAAAGAAACATTTTTTATAGGGATTCGTTGAAGCTTTGAGTCTATCATTCTTTATGTTTTCAGTTGCTTTGAAAACTATTCCTTTTAGCTTTATTCGTTTTTGCAGGAATATTACGCGCATATTTTTCCTTTTGTTTATTTCCTTTCAATAAGCTTATATATATATAAGTTGCTGAATCATCAGAAACTACTAGAAGAAAGTCGTATATGGCCGGCCTATGCCTTGAAATCTGAGATCGCACTGTCAGGTCGCTAAGAACACTACTAATCCAGTTTTTTGCAAGATTTTTCAAGAAGAAATATCCTTCCACAGTATGCACAGCCCCGAAATGAAAACCTTCCGTATAACTTTATTAATATACATATTGACTGGTACTAAAATCCGAACCCTGTGCAAGTAGGTTTAAACACCGAAACGATAACCGAGAGAATACCTGCGCATATGTTTCAAATAGACCACCGTTCAGTTCCGAATTGAAACATTTTTGATGATCGATGTGTTATGAGGTTGCATGCAACCCTACTAGACTAAAAAACCGCTTCAAAACTAATCAATCCTCGTTTTATATCGTTAAAGGTTTTTGCCATTTATCTTAAAATAAGCTTACGAACTATTTGTTCCTATTTATACTATTATAATTGAATGTAATGAACGATAATGTTTTACGATGAATTCAATGTCATCAATGTGTCGAAAGGTAAGTGTTGAATATTGTGTTTGAATAGCTTGCAAACGGCTTATGAAGAAGTTATAATCTGATATGAAGTTTTTAATTATCAGATTATCATCTCACCATTTTTCACACTTGATTAAATAAGAAGTTAACATCAAAGTGAAATCAATAGGTACCGGATAGCAAAAAAGTTAATGGGTGACGGCATTGAATGGCAACCAACAATCATTTGTGGTATACAACCTTTACAAGACAAGTGTATTAACTTCATGCAAACGGGTAGGAACACACTACAGCACGGAAGAATAAAGAAAAATATCTGATGACTATCGTTCAAAAAAAAGCTCCTTCAGGAACCTTTCTAAGGTTACTATCAGTCCCAAGCCCGCATAAGAAGGAGCTATGGACATGGAATTAGCAACCCCATCCCACAAACAACCAAATTCCAAAAAAAGCTGACAGTTAATAAGTAACTCAAACCATTTAAACTCTGTCAGTAAAGTTGGAAGGTCTTCATTTAGACCAGTTATGACATCTCATAGTGAGTTTCTTCAGAATTCACGACACCAACGCCTCCTCTCACAGTCAGAGCAACAATCAACAGAGGCACATGGAATGTCTACACAAAGTGAAAAACCGCAAGGACCATAAGAGTTGCTGCGGAAATAAAAAAATTACAAACTAGTCGTGCTCGAAATAAGTGAAACCCACTACACATAGGTGGAAGGAAAAAATTAGCTTCAGGAGAGATGCTATTCTACTCCAACCATGAAGACGAAAACGTTTCATACACACCAGCAGTTCCACTAATGTTATCCAAAGAATCACTAAAGACACTTGCAGGATGTAAATCCCATGGACTCATGATCATCAAAGCCTCCTTCTAAATAAACAAAGCAGAGATTACAATGAATATCATTCAGTGCTAAGTCCATCAACGATAACAATAAAGACGATAAAGACCAATGCTCTACAAAGCATTTGACCATTCTGATATGGTTATTGAACTGTTGAATTAGTTTAAATATTTTGTTTTTAAACCACTGTCAGTCAGTCGTAAACAAAGTAGAACGTAAAACATACGTATCAATTCAGGTTGCCACATCATATCGTCACAACGAAATGAAATTATCAAGACAAACCCTAGAGTTTCATGAGTAGTAATATTATTGGTAGAATTGGGAAACATTAGATATTGACATTTTGATTCGAAAGGAAAGAATAAGAAGTAGAAGTTAGTGTTGAAACTTAGGATCTAAAGGAAAGCAAAAGGCGAATAGACCTGTGCCACTGCTCAAGTAAATAAAGTAATAACACGAAAAACTTATAAACTACGTAAGTAACATGTAATAATCAAATTATTTAACAATCTCATAAAATCTCTTTATTGACTAATGAACTATGGTAATGCATTTACTGGATAATAAATAGTGAAGACAGAAACAGCTAGCAGTATTTTCATGAAATATAAAAATGAAGAAGTAATAGAAAATGTATTAATTACAAACAGAAAATACTACAACTGTGAATTACGCAATAAAAGTGCCCATATTTTGTTTTTACTTTTTTTCCGCTTAAACCAGACTCCTAAGCGAAATGTTTAATTTGTTAATTTAAAAAAATACAACTTCCATTAATTGTGTAAAAAATAATTTTCATTGATATTTCAATTCTCAAACACTCAGCTGACAAGCTATACAACATCGGGACAGTTTCAAAACAAAGAGTTCAGTAATAAAAAGAATATAATCTTGAATAAATACACTGCACTTTTATGTTTGTAAAAACTACATAATTGAAAAATATAAAGTCAATAAATATGATTCAATAATCAAGAAGGAAGCAAAATAATATGAAAATCTCAAATATACAGTTTGTTACAGACTTATTATTTAATATGAAATGAGAAGCAGAAAAGTTTTTGTTAACAACACAAAGAAGTAACAATCACTTATAAATTATATATGTAGAGCTGAAATAGACTTGATAACAAATTCAGGATTAGATAATTCAAGAGAGCTACGTTTACGTTGACGCTTTTCTTTTTTGCTTAATTTTCTACGAAATGGAAATGTTTGAAAGTAGTCTAAATTACAGCTAGCAATTTTGTCCGACTGTTTATTATGGCTTTTAGATGAATGAATAGAGCTTCTATCATCTGAACCATCAGAAGAATAGTCTACATACTTCTTGTCAGATGTATTGTTTGTAGATGAGGCAGAATTTTCAGCTGAAAGACAAATTTTTATTCTTGTAGGATTACTGGAATTATCGCCAAAAACTCGTACGCTTGAATAATGCTCACCATTATGATAAGCTAAATGTAGTTGAGGGTAGATAGAAACGTCAACATGTGTTTTATCAATAACAGGAATACCCGCTAGCCAAGGTTTTTGTTTCAATTGATGTATAATAATATAAACAGAAAAATATCGTGATATTGCAATAATACACTCATGACCACCGTATGTTCCAAGTAATCGAAGTTTATTCAGTCTATCTTTGACATCAAAAAATGGTTCAAATTCTTCTTTATGTTTTTCTATGTAAAGTACAGCTTGTTCACGAACTTCTTTATGATTGGCTATAGTTCCATATAATTGATCAGATAACGATGAAAATAAACAATTTCCATCTGATGGTACTTCACGGAAATCTAAACCAATTTGATTTAATTGTTGACGAAATTCTGGTGCTGATGGATCATTTTTTAGATAATAATCATTTTCATCATCTCCTTTACAACATGTTTTAGACGTTCGGTCCTGTTGGCTTTCTAAGTGATGATTATTCTTCTTATGCTTTTTATGATTTCCCTTAGCTTTAGACTTTGAGCCCATACAAAGGAAAAAATTAAGTTGTTTACTCCACAGTCTCACAATATTAGATGTCAATTATTAATATCGATTACTGTATGGGGATCCGATTTTTAGGCTGTATAGAAAGAAGTTATGATAGAAAGAGCGGAAAAGAAAATTAATCCATATTTCACGATATAAATAATATGAGTCAATTATGTTCACTTACCGGATAGAAATTTATATACTAATTTAACTCATATTTGACCTACCTATTCATGTAGAACTAGGTCTAATGGTTTCTAATTTAGAATCAACTTTTAAGAACTAAGTATTAAGACATACAAAATGTTATGATAACAGCCAGCTGTATTGAAATGCTTATATAAATATACTATTCTCTGGTATATATTACCTAATATTAGTGTTTGAAAAAGCTAACAACTGAGAAGATTGAATTCAAACATTAGTTAGTTCAGGTTTATTTTTGAATGTCTTTAGTAAGTACCGAGAATTCTCCAAACACTAACTTGCTTGATACTTAAGGTACATTTCGTTTTAGATGGTAGTTAGTTCAAAGATAGACAGATTGTACTGTTTTCAGATGTATCGATGGGATGCGAAACATCGCTCATGAGAATGTAAGATGAGTTAATACAGGTACTTATAACTAAGAATCTTATCAGGTTTGGATCCAAGTGGCAGACACAGGTGCAAATGCGAGTCAACTTTAATTGGCTGCTTTGTATTTCGTACTCTCACTTACTGTGGGGAGATGTGATGGTACAAACTCTGTGAAATATAAACATCCACAACCTGAATTACACGATTGAGAAATCAGAAATAAATAACATTTCTTAAATAGACAAAGAAAGGTCACCATTGAGACTTTCTTTTAGTTGACTCTCCCTCTGGTTAATAGACGAACATTCCACCTGAGATATATATGGTGCAGCTCTTTTACTAGTCCATTTACCAGATACAGATTTGTATACTCGGTCTTGAACCATATTCTTCGCATGAGGGCTAGCAATATTAGCCGGTTTCTCAACCCGAAATAAGATGAAAGATACCGAAGTTACAACTAAGCACCTAAAACTCCAAAACCCTAACTACTGAACCACCTCTATATTACTAAGTAAAGACTAGGTGATTATTTTTATCCATGCCGAGATCCAATCATATACTGGCCTACTAAGACTAGTAATACTCCCAAGACAAGTGAATTATTCAACATTCCTCACAACTTAATTTCATGTTATTATAATAATACTTGGAGGAGACTGATCCTGAAGCGACGCTTTACATCTAGATGGGAATAAATGTATCCCGAAAATTCTAATATTGTTACTTCATGGGATCAGAATACCCTAGAGTTTAGTCCGTATTTACCAAACAGACCTGTTTTCTACGTATTCTAAATTAATTTACGAGTGATAGAGTGAAATAGTTGAGCGTGTTGATTGCTTCACTTATCTTGGGAATTTCATCAGTCTTGATGGTCTGGTGTCTGACGAAATATGGACACAGATACAGAGGGCTCGACAGATCGTGTAACTTATGGTGCAGGCGAAGTATCCGTCTGTTAAACAAGGGACGAGTCTACTGCGCAGCAGTTCGCTCTGTCCTACTTTACGGGTTTGAAGCATGGCCAGTAAGAGTAGCGGATATTCGTAGGTTACTGGCTTAGCTCGAATATCCTAGGACCATCAAGTAAGCAATGCTGGTGTTAGGAAAAGGGTACTAAGTAATGATGGCAGATCAATAGATGAAGTATTGAAACTTCATCAGTTGATGTGGTTGAGACATGTGTTACGTATGCTTAGTCACCGACTGCTTCGATGGGCGATGTTTTGTGATGTAGGAGTAGGCTAGAAGAAAGTTAGGAGCGGCCAGACCAAAACACGTCAGAAATCCATGAAGTCATTAACAACTGGACTGAGCTATTTTAGTAGGTATAGACTACCAAGTTGGGGTCCGCGAGACAATAGTAACCGACGGTTAGAGAATGTAGACGTGGTTTAAAATCGTTTACAATGGCGCAGATGCACCCAATCTTTGCCTTCTCTCAAATGCTGATTGTCTGAATCCCTCATGACCTTTTGTTTTTTGAATTGACAATTCGATCTCTCTGTGGCAATGTGGTGTGGCAACTTGAACTGATGTACGTACGTATGAAGTTCTACATTGCTGTTAATTGAATGATATAAGTGAATGTACTGAGAGATCAACCTGTATGAAACGAGAAGGACAAGGGACTGTCTCTAAAATCAAATTTATGAGGAATTGGCTCAGGAGTAACTGGATGGAAAGTAAACTATTTCTACCCAAAATTCCAGTAGCCAAGGGATAGAAACACTTACTAAAGAGCTGTTGGGCACCGAACCAAAAAGAACAGGCTTTACAGGCATGGGACAAAAGTGATCAAAGCAGTATTTGCAAAAACCTTTTAAGATCAAGTCATAATGACAACAAAAGTGACTCAAGTTGATAAGGGTGCAGATTCAAGTGCACAAACGTTTCAACTATTGTCAACAGGCACCACCATGAGTGAATAAAGGAATACGATTCTATTGGTTTTTAGATTCTTACAGTTCAGTGGTGTAAAATGCAAAGAATGCCTCAAGAGGCTGATTATTGATGAGCAAAATCCAATCTTGGTAACATACATACTATCGCGCAGCTACAAATCAGTGTCAAAAGACGTGCAAGTCACATAAACCAACGACAATATTGCAGGACATGAAGAAGAGCTAATGCTCTGGCTTTCGTAATTGAGTGTAACTATATTATATTGCCAAGCCAATCAGGACAATCATATGAACTTTGAAATTTTGTGAAAAATTAACCAATTACGGCAAACAAACAGCTTTTTATATATAGATTTGTGAAGGATGTCATTATTTAGCGATAAAATTGTTTACGGTTGGTGAATAATTTATCGCGTTAAGTAGTAAAAATGGCGATATGAAGAATGTATCTAGGGCGAAAATAGACTTCTTTGAAATAACGAATTCCTGTTGTAGGCCTTAAAAACTCGTAAGCTACGTACGACAAGAATATACGACTAAATTTCACGTTTATAATGACAGGCTCCTTAATTCGACAACCTGTGTACACATTCGGCAACAGGGAGTTTAAATATTTTAAAGTAAAGAACCTCTCAATACTGATAGTACAACGCAAAATTAACCGTAGGAATTTAATATGTTAATGACCACCGAAAATGCAGTAGTTAGAAATGTAAAAACTGGATTAAGGATGTAGAATGGTTGTCATTCCACACTAAACATGCAATATACTCGGCTAAGGTCAATCTATGGGAGGTTATAAAATCAAATATCCTTATCATTTTAGCTCTTCGTATACTCTCACAATTTCATACTATCACTCTTCAACGTTACTAACTGCACGAACGTACATTTCCATTTGGATTAGTGTTCGGAATCAACAACTTGAGGTTGTGGACGTTATAAAAATGCATCACTTTTAAAAACCCTGTCAGTCCTTTTGTATACAGCTATATAAAATGCGCCGACTATAAGATTACATTTACGCCAAACGAACTTAGCATACACTAGACATATGAAGAGTGGGACTCGATAACTGGAAGGATTTATAGGCACACACCAAAGTACTTTAAGAACATACTATAAAATTTAGATGAGTTGCTTTATGGACGTCATAGGCTAAATACTACTATGACAATTAGGACTTATAATAATATTGCATATACAGAAATTAAGGACTTTACAAGGAGTAATTGCTGTTTAGCACTACTTTTCTTGGTAAAGAAATTTGAGTTTAGAGGACAGACAGTTGTAACGCATTCAAAACATTACTCTACCAACTTCTGATTTCGATTATCAGTTTGTCGTAATCTAGTGGTTGTGTTATTTCTGACTGTTATCAATTGATTCCTCTATCAAATGTAAGTGCATTCGATGCGCTTACTGAGCTGTAGGCTCATCATTTCTCTTTTAGACTACCTCACATACTGCTGCTCACACCCCTTTAACACACGAGACATCATCTGCTTAAACGCAAACGTACCAAAGACTAGTGTTACACAGCCGTCATTTGAAAACCGCGCTGGATCCTAGTTCGCATTCATTGTCACACTTTAGAAACGTGAGTAGCAATTAGATACATGTAATATCCATTCTACATATGGTGAGTTTGTTGCTGATTTTGGATTCTCTGTTTCTCACTGACGTGTTAATTTTTGTTTGACCAAGTTACTAGACCGACACTTGTGACATCTTGGAAATAGTTAATAGTAAGTAGTAATCCATTTGAAAATTAGGGTACTGATCATTTTCGATATGTTCCCTATAGTAGTTATGTTACTGTATGTAAGTGAACACTAATTTTGCTACTTATCCCAAGTTTTTTAATACTGTTTGTGGGTCGAGTTGGACTGTAAGGTCATGTGTTTTGAAATTCCACCTTTAGGTCCGTTTCAAATACACAGTTTAAGAGAATTCGAAAATTCCAGTAGCGCACCTGCTTTATGAAAACCTGCTGGTTCAAACTTTAAGCTAGGGATCTGCTTCATGCTACTGCTAAGATTAAACATATATTGTCTGGAAAGCATTGCCAACGTCGTTAATTTGTATAGGGCTATTGGTTTAGTCGCCACCCTTAACACGGTATATGATAGGTGATCTGATGACATGTATGGAATTTTACCAAAAATTCACTTACCTGAGGCAAATCACTGTTTACTCTAGTAATGAATATTTAATCTACTTCTGAAATATCTAATTTGGATGGAGAATCTCTCAATATCCATGAGATTTTCTAGTGAATTGTGACGTGAGCATATGGAGTTTCAGCAAACGCTTCATGAATTCATGAAGGTAATTGATATAAGAACTAAATCGTCATTTCAGTAGTCTAATACTAGCTAAATAGTTACTCTAAGCATTCGTCCTGATAGGTTCGGTGAAATGGAGCATCATTGTGTAATATACCATATTCTTGCGGGATGTGGCGTCCTAGTGGTGTTGCTGGGCCTCGTAACAAGGGACAAGTTATGTTCCTTAAATCTCTGGTATTTTAGGTGCACAACCACGCTTGTACTCCTAGCTTCATGGCTGCCGATAACTGGAGGAAGTTATTTGGAGATGAAAGAACAGTCGTTCAGCCTTTTGTTGAGCATAATGCTAATATCCTTTGAGTGATGGATTAAAAATCCCAAAAAACTGGTAAAGTTATTCAGTACAATGGCATCTGAAATATTCAGGCGATACTGTCAACACAAGTGTTGTGTATAACTACTGAGAAAATAAGGATCAGTAATTTGAATCACTTTTTACGTCACCCAAGCAATGTCAGGAAAGTAGAAATACTTCGAAACGATGTTAGCAACACATCTGCCCTTATTTTTGTGCTGAATCAAGTGGTTGGTCCGTATGCAAACTTTCTGGAGGTCCACTGTATTTATTTCACGTATTACCGATCTCCACAATCTTATGGGGAGAGTTATCATATACTCACTTGTGACTAGCTCCGTAAGGAGCAGCGAGCATCGGAGTTAAACCATCCTTGGTATAAGACAGTTACTCAAAGAAGGCAAATGATGAAGTCGCTCAATATCTTGGAACGACTGAAGTTAAATGGCTCAATGATCTAGACGTTGGGCGTTCGGTTGAGAGACCACAGGTACTGTGCTCGATTTTAACGCGTGGAGGTCGGGGATCAATAATGCTGATGAATCTTGTTCTAGGACTGTAAATGAATTTCTACAGTGGCCGTTCCAATGGGTTCCAATAGGTGCACTCCTGTACGATTCTCCCAGTCCCAGGTCCAAACAAATCAAAAAGGACAAAAATTCTAGGAGAAAGCGTCTTATTTAAATAAAAACATGGAAATACAAAGCATTACCTGGAATTAATGCTCCTTCCATGATACAATTACTCCGAAGAGTATCAGAAACAGTGATAGATAAGTGACGCTAAGTCCAGCGGCCACTGCATCAATCCAAATATGGCTGTAGCCATATTAAAGATCAAATTTAAACAACATATATACAGATCAGAAGCAGACACAAAAACTTCAATATAAGTACAAAATATAGAAATAATAACAATATACAATGATAAAATCTCAAATTGGAATCAAATAAATACCAAAAATGTCAACAGAAAAAGTCCGTCATGTCATAACAAAAATATGTAAACATGGAGCGATTTTCCAAAACACAAAACATTTAAAAAGGATTCTACAAGGACACGTCCACGTTTCCGATGGTTGTCTAGCATTGATTGACTCATGATTTCAAGGAAATGGAAATTCTTAGATGTCCTTTATATCAATTCATTGTAACTGATTGATTTGTGAGAGGGTGCACAATGCCGTCCCCACTGACGCGAACTGAATGAAGAAGTGAATTCTGCAGCATTGACGTCGATGATGTATTATACATCTAAAATGGTTACTTAGTGATTAATGGTGTTCCGGGACAAGTTCTTACCATGAATGAGGCGTTCCAGTCGGCAGTAACAGTTTATGTTTATGCAACGTTTTCCAAGCATTAAAAAAAGAAAATATTTGTATTTGAGTGCAGCTAACCATCTTAGTTTTCTGATCCTCGTTTGAAAAAAAAAACTAAATAATATAGCGTATATGCGCAGCTATGACGCGTAAGTTGTTTAGATTTTAGCACCTCATGATTCTAATGGGAAACAATACCAACAATCACTTACAAGTTACTCACAGACAATTAAAGCCTTGCCTATAAAAATTTGTCCGGTTGAAATGACTAACCAGAAAGTCTTGAAGTAGATGGGAAGTGGTATACAACGAAATGACATACGAGGTACTTAGATGCTTTCAAAATATTACGCTTCAATGCGGATCTTAAACAGATTCAACTACTATAAACTCTAAGGGTTATGTAATGGGAATCCTCTTCGGACTATCAGTTATTTTTGGTCTTACTGTGAGTGTAAACTTCCATGCATGTCTAGGGGTGATGGAGTCGAGATTGACTATGATCACCACTAAATATTTATTACTAGCCCGTTACCGTAAAGATAAATAAATCCAGGGTAACGAGTATACTTACTGGTGATTTCGTGGTGTCGAAAAAATACCGAAATTATAACAGAAAGTGGGCGACATAGAGAGCAGCATGTAACGAATGATGGCAGCAACACAAACAGAAAGTTGCGTGTAAGTACGTGTCTTTAGTACAGTTATACAAAAGGAGTACAATAAAACAGTTATTGTTACGATTGTTTTCATTCCACCAATTGCGTTCTCTTTGCAGAAGCCTTCCAATACATATGAACGCAGTGAGTTCACCTTCGTCTTCATTCATGAAAATTGGGTAGTTACATTTTTAGATTCTAAACATCTTAATCAACAGTAGACACAGAATAAAACACTATAATAGCATCGATAGCCATCCGTAAACTGTGCGCCAGAAATCAGAAGCAATGTCTACGTTGATATTAAACGGGTTTGCGCAAAAGAACTTGAAATTTTGAGGACCACCCCTAGATTGAGGATTTCGAGGCTTTTAGTCATACTTCCTCAAAGTTAGGAAGTGATACGAAGAATACTGTATGTATCAACTTGTAGCATCTCATCATTCATTCATTGTACTTTAATAAGTAGTCGTTTGGACTATTCGATAATTGTATCGACCATAATTTTGTATTTTTAATAATTAGATTACAGTATCGATTATTACATATTTGATTGTGTGTGGATGCTTACTCGCTTATCACATGTCTAGCCTATTATTGCTTAAGTATAAATACTTAGCCATCCTTCAGCTCATGGAGAGTTGGCTCACTAGCCTTCTCTAATTCGCTTCGTTTCGCTCGTACGCTTCCCTTGTCGTGTTTGTCTGTATAAATGAATACATGGAATAAATTCATCTGCAACACCGTATCTGGCTTCCTACTACCGCCGTCTCACAAACGGGCTTAGCCTAAGTTTAAAATACGGAAGTGGATAGGAAGATTTATCTCATTGCATACTCGATCATTTGTCTACACTGAAGTCTAGTAGTGAGCCGCTAAAAACTTTTCTAGTAAAAATATAGAAAGTCTTGACAAAATTCGTCATTAACTTGTAGTGGTATGCTTTTACGAAGAAAACACAATTGCTGAAATATTAACATTTATTATTATACTTAATACTGACGATAATTGTTTTATTGTACTTCTTTTATTTATCTGTACTAAAGACTATCTCTCGCTCGCCAAGCGTGTTATTCCCACTCTCCGCTCTTCTCCTTGCTAGTTGTTCGCCACTCGTGTACCCTAGCCTCGATATTATTTCGATATCTCGAGGCTAGCGAAAAATATATTTCTTCATCCAGAATTGTATTTTCTTTGACTTCTGGATTATCGGGATTTGCATTAGTAATCCCGCGAAGAAATATGTTTATTTCGACTTACTATAATTGGTGAGCGACAAATACGAACACACATTAAATTAGGTGAGCGTTGGAAAATGGTAGATAAACCTAGGAATGAGGATAGCTTAGAAGACTCCCATATACAGGTCCTTAATTTCCGACCTGCCGCATTTATTTTTCACTACCCAGAGGTCTGGCTTGCTGCACTATAATCTCTGTTTGGGATCCGCCACATCACTTACCAGTGGCAAATGTTTGCCTACCCCTGGAGTCTCTTCCTCGGTATCACATAGCTGCTGCTCGTGAGGTCATTCTCAACCCAGCAGTTTCTGATGTCTACGATCGGCTTAAACAGGCGATCCTCGGACACCTCCCATTGAGGGAGGAACGGTTGAGGACATTACTAGCACGCCACCACCTTACGCGCCTGCAAAGTTTGGCAGAATCCACGAAGGCGGACCCTGACATAGTCAAAGAATTGTGGCTTGAGGCTTTGACAGCTCACGTACAGCCTTCAATTACTGCTCTGCTCGAGGATATACCAGTTAGCAAGGCTGCCCCCATAGTAGATAAGATAATAGCGCCTATAAGCTCGCGAGACAACTACGTAGTCGCCTCTACATCAAACGCAAACTTTTGGCCTCGACGCTAATCACATTCAGGCTCAGCGAGACCGGGGTCGCAGTATCGACAGCCGTCTCAATTTTTGAGATCGTTCTTCTGTTCCCA